AATTGATATTCCAAATCATTGGATCAGCCTAAATGCCCTTTTAAAAAAAAATTTAAAAAATACTAAAATTTCTTTCAAATCTAAATTTTTAGGTTTCTCAAAAAATGTGGTTATTGAAAATACATAAATACTGAAAACATGTTTCATGTTTGAGTATTTTGTTTATCATTATATTGATTTTATAGTCAAAATTAAGTTTGAAATGTAATTTATTATAATAAAATAAATCTCTTTAACTAATTTTTTTATTTTTTTTCTTCCATAATCTCCAATGTCACTTTCACTTGTAAAAATAGTGGGCCTATTTCTTGTTTTTTTCTATTTTCTGATAATTAATTTATTAAATTATTAATTTATTTCTATGATATTTTTCTTCATATTTGAGGTCTCATGCTTGAAAATGCGCTCCATTTATTTAGGTTATAGATTTTCTTACGTAGAGTGAGGCCAAGCACATCTTAAAAAACAAAAAAAAGTTGGGAGGATATCTCTCGTATCCCTCCATTCTCCATCTAATGACCTCTCATTCTCTCTCTTTTTATCCCCATCCCTCATTCTCCATCTAATGACGTCTCATTCTCTCTCTTTTTATCCCCATTGATGCATTCTTATCAAATACGTCTTAAAATCTTATCTTTATGAGGATCAAAGGTAAACTACATATTAACAACAACTAAAACACATAAGTTTGGGACAACCCCATTACATTGAGGACTCTTTATAAAAAAAAATCGCAAACTATGTAAAATTTATAAAAAAAAAATGAGGTTATCCAATAAAAGAAAATTTTGTAGAAAATAAAAAATTATATGGAACTAGCTGGTTCCTAAAAGGAACTGGATTGTTCCAACGAAGAAACGGCCAGCTCACACCTAGAACCAACCGGTTCCCAATATTTATAGGAAACTGAACTAGCTCTTCGGAGAACTGATTCGGATCGGATGACTTCAATCCGAATTGACATTTTTTTAAACACTGAGTTCTATATCGCTCTGATTAGGATTGAATGATTCCAATCCGAATTGACAGTGTTTTAAACACTAAGTTCTATATCGCTCAGGACATGTTTCTTATGTATCGATGTTGTCTACGAGTTATCTCGGCTATCTACCAAGACCGAGTAACTCGGCCAAATTCATCTGAAAATATTGTTTTAATGTTGAAAACTCTCTAATTGATCATCTCGACGTTGAGATGTATGAATATGGAAAAAAAAAAAAAGATTTTGAGTACAAGAAATAGCGTATCTTGCAACACAATTTCTAGATCGTCCATTTTCAAGATTTTCGTATGTTTATAGATCTACATAATTTCAACTTTTTTTGGAGTTTAAAATTTTTTTACTAGATATAAAAACAAATTTTTAATTGATCCTAATATTTTTTTAAACCAAAATTACATGTTATGTTAAAGTTTGGAAGTACGCCTTAATTGGATTGTCCAAGATTGCAATCTTATGAAAATCGCTAATTAAAATGGGCTAACTCAACAAAGAAAATTAAAACCACTATTTTTAACGTTTAAAATCAAGTTATTTCTTCAAATTCATTATTGTAGTAGTTGAGATTCGCATCTCTTAATATTAAAATCCAAAATTCATCTCTGACATTAATTTCCCGCCTCTTCTTTATTTTTATTTATATTATTATTATTTATTATTTTATGAGAATAATTTATTATTATTATTATTATTATTGATTTTGAGTGCTGTAACGGATGACACATCGTAGCGCGATCCAAAAACAATGCAGCCGACGTCCCATGTGTCTCCTGACGGTATCTCAATTATACTCACAGACAACTGCACATCAATCATGACCATTAAAAAAATAAAGAAAACGAAACCCACCCAAAAACAATGGAGAAAAATCGAGAAGATCAAGATAATATGGCCTAATGTGCTTATAAAAACAATGTAGAAAAATCAAGAAAATCATTCAAGATATTCTGTATACCCTCATGTGGTTATAAAAGTGGTATGCCCGTTCTAGGGCTGAGCATCAGAGTGAACCATGGCTCCCTCTATTGATGAAGCCGCGGTCCAACCTCTTGAGCTCAGGCCTAAGCTTGACTGCATCAAATACTTAGAGGAAGTCCCTCTCATTGATCTCTCTCCTCTAAGGTCTAAAAACTGTGACCTCTCTGAGGCCAAAGAGAAACTTGCATCTCAGCTCCATGATTGTCTTAAAGAGTGGGGCTTCTTCCTAGTTGTGAACCATGGCATGGCAACTGATGCCTTGGCAAAGGTTAAGAGTACCTTCACTAAGCTTCCTGAGGAGGACAAGAAGAAGGTGGCTAGAAATGAGAAGAATCCTTGGGGTTACAGTGAGAAGGATCTCACTAAGAACACTAAGGACTGGGTCGAGGTGTTCGACTACATGGTCGCGGAGGAGCTCACCCTGCCTGAGACCTTCGAACCCGATTGCAAAACTGTAGTGAAGTTCAGGAATAACTGGCCGGAAAACCAGCCGGAGTTTCAGTAATGGATTTGGTTTAGAATTCCTACTTTATTCGTTTGTTAAATTAGGTTTCTTTAATTTTTATTTGTTTTTCCCATTTCTTCTTTTAGTATATCAGCATGGAAAAAAGCCCCATAGAGAAGAGAGACTATGCTCTTCTTGTACAGCAGAATACTGAAAGAACAGATCTCTCTCTCCCTCTCTCTACGTCAAAATTCATTTCATTCACCAAAATCATTCCATACAATGCGACCGTTTTTCTTTCTAGCTGTTTGTTGTCTTTTTTCTTCTTTTTTTTGGGTGATTCAGTGGGAGAAGACCAAGACCCTTACCCGTTTTTTCAAGTAGATCGAGTTAGCCGTTTGAAAGTACTAGTATGGTTGGTGAGAATAGAAACCAATGCGTAGTGAGTCGATGTGCTGCCGCGACCACCCAGGACTTTTACTTTTTATTAATACCTGCTGGCTTTTTTAAAAGATTCCTCCTTACTAAAATGAGCTCATGCCTTCTATAAAATATAAGCTTTCTATTAACAAACTTCTTCCTTCAATAAGAGATCAATTAGGTGGTTTTTCACCGTCAAAACAACCTCTTTCTGGGTGACTTTTGAGGGCATGCTTTTTTCTACAATTTAAAGTTGTAACTTTATATAAACTTTTTCTTCCAAATTTTACTAAAATGAACTCATACCTTCTATAAAATATAAGCTTTATATTAACAAACTTCTTCCTTCAATAAGAGATCAATTAGGTGGTTTTTCACCATCAAAACAATCTTTTTCTGGGTGACTTTTAAGGGCTTTATATAAACTTTTCCTTCCAAATTTTATCACTAACAAAACTGAAATTGCTTTGCAGGAAAGCATGCGAAGACTTCACGACTGGCACGATGAAATTGCTCTATGAGCTCATGGAACTCATAGCCTTAAGCTTGGGCTTATCTGAAGACAGGTTAAAGCCTTATTTTGACGAAAATTTGTGTTATTCTCGCATCAATTACTACCCACCATGCCCAACTCCTGAGTTGGCTCTAGGCAAAGGCGCGCACAAGGACCACTGTGCCTACACAGTGTTAGCCACCGATGAAGTAAGCGGGTTTGAGGTAATGCGCAAGTCCGATGGCGAGTGGCTCCGAGTCCGACCCATTCCTGACTCTGTCATCGTCGTCGGCGGCGACATCTTGCAGGTAGTCCACTGAAATCCAATCTGTCTCTCTCTCTCTATCTATCTATCTCATCTGTCCAGGTGATCCACGAAACGTAATCTGATGTTGTGTGGGAGAGTAGATGCTTTTCTATTTTAAGTGCAACTACAAATTTTAAAGCACCCAAAAGGCCTCAATGAATCTGGAAAGGCCCACTCTTTCATCTTTGACCTTTCTAAAATGCCCCCCTAACAAGTTGCAAAAAATAATTATGCTGATATGATACACCATTTTTTCAAAACTTATCAAATAGCATTGACTAGTCTATGCCAATAAACTACATCTTCCATCTCTCACAAAGAACCCTGCCCACACCTATGCCTTTAGCCTATTTTTAATTTTTTTTTATTCACTTCACATCTCACGAAATAAAAGGCAGGTTTGGAGCAATGAGATTTACGAGAGCGTGGTACACAGAGCTGTGGTGAACTCCGAGAAGGAGAGGCTTTCTATGCTCACTGTTGCCGCACCGGCATTTGAGGTGATGGTTGCGCCTCTCGATGAGCTTGTGGGAGAGAAAACCCCTGCTAAATATAGAGCTTATAAGTGGGGAGAGTTCTATGGAGCAAGGAAGTTCAGCAATTTCAGGAAGCTAGACACCCCTGTCCTTGAGGTGGCTGACTACAAGATCAGAAGTTAGGGCAAGGCTATCCACTATCATATATATGCCTGAGTTTAGATTATCCTGTTTGTCTTGTGTCACTGTCTAAGCTCCTCTTGTGTCCCTGTCTAAGTTGTTAATGTTCTGGTTTTCCCTGAATAATGGGATATTATATGACCCAGATCCTTGCCTATGTAGTTGGTCATGTTCTGGTTTTCCCTTTCCCTGAAAAATAGGATCTTGAATGTAATAAAGAATGGTTTTGTAGTATGGAACTTCTCATGGTGTAAAATCTATTATGCTTATTGTAAGACTTGCCCCAGGAGTGAGTCAATCTTATTTATGCTTATGTTCATGTGAATCTCCTCTCTCTCATCGGATTTTGCATGACTCACTCATTTTTTAATCAGTTAGTGGTTTTTAAAGCTCTCGGGGGAATGGAAACCACAACCCATTGTATGGGTGGAAACTGTTTCTGAGTGACTTACGTAGGGACTCTAAAAGTTTTTCTAAAATACGATATACCATTTATAGGTAGAAATTGCAAAGAACTTCGATCAACCTCTTATTTTTATTTTTATCAAAATTACACCTCTGTCCAAAGATATCTTCGAACCGATTTTTATTTTTTATTTTTTTAAGTGTTTTTTGTTAGTAATAAATTACCATAAAACTTAAGCCATTCTCTACTAACCAAAAAAAAAACTAAAAAAACTAAAAATAAAAGTCATGCTAAATATTCCATCATCAGATCGAAGGACAAGTTTTGAAAAAAATGAAAAATACGAGGGTTAACCGACCTTCTTTCTAATTTCTACCTATAAAGGGAGGTTTTCATATTTTATAAAAAAAAATTAGGGTCCTGATGTAAAAAAAAATTAGGGTCCTGATGTAAATAACTCTTTATTTTTCTCTTAAGAAATTAAAAAGTTTTTAAGGGACTCGTGGATGTGTTGCAAGTTAGGAGTGTTAGTGCCACATAAATCAAGTTATAAAACCATGTGCTTCTATGTGCAACTAAAACGCTCTCGGACACTAATTACAATTGATCAAATAAAATAGGAAAAGTTGTTTTAACGTAAAAAAGAAAATAAAAGATTTTGAATCCCAGAAATAGTGCATCTTGCAATACATTATCTAGACCTTCTATTTTCAAGATTTTCATATGTTTATAGATCTACTTGATATTGGTCATTTTTTAGAGTTTCAAAATTTTATAATTAAATATGAAAATAGATTTCATATAATTCTATGAATTTTTTAAACGAAAATTATATGTTATGATAAAATTTGGAGCTGCGCCTTAATTGGATTGTTTAAAATTGCAACCTTATAGAGACCACACCCAATAAAATATAGTCCATACCAAGGTTTAAAAAATCGAATCGGTGACTTGATTCAGTCACACCCATACCCGTGTCAGATCGGGGGGATCGGATCCAAAGATTCGGGGGAATTAGTAATGTTTGTTTTAATTTTTTTAAATAATAACTCAAGAAAAAATTATTCATCCCTTTTTTTTTGCTTGACTCTGTGATGAATTGGTCGGAATTGGTGAAGAATTAGTCGGACTTGGTGAAGAATCGTTGGAATCAGCAGTTCCACAAAAAATCGGCAACTCTACTATTTGGAACCCCCGAATCCCATTTTTTACCTTAATCTGAAACATCCAAGGCAATTCTTGATCCGGATCGCCCAATTCCAGATCGAGATAGTGATATTTTAAACATTGATCCATACTATACTTTGTTTTGTGTTCTTCTAGGGGCTATTTTCACGTCATTGTTTCATTATAAGATATTAAATTGGTTCTTTTAGACTGTGTGTTCATGGAATTTGCATGACTCCAAAGTTTGAACTCACTCTCTTCATCCAAATGATCAATCTCAGCCCGAAAAAACTGCCTTCTAGAAAAAGCAAAGAGTATTTCAACTCCAACAATGAATTTAGATAACATCGACTCGAAGTCTTTAAGAATTCAAAATTTATTTTCCTTTTTTTAAGTCACTCATCTAACACTGATAAAGTGGTCCATAAAATTTAGAATAAAAAATAGGGCAAGCTTTCTATACTTCCCCTACTATATAAAACTAATATACTTCCCCTTATCCGACGGTCCAACCATTCTGAAAGAACAGCTGAGATGGCCCCAATTACAATGTCACGCCTCTACATTATTTAAGTTTTAATTATATTTTTACAAAACTTTTTGTTGTCAAATTTTTAGTGTCCATTCCTCTCTTAAACATGCACCTGTAAAAAAAATAAAACAAATATTCCCAATAAAAAAGACCAAAAATGCCCCTTAAACTTTAGAGGTATTTTTTTCATTTTATTTTATCAAAAATATTTTTTATTTGTGCACCCCATTAAGATGATAGCATGTACCAAATTTTATATTAATATAATTTATAAAAAATAAAATATTATGAGACGTCAGATCTCGATCACACGGTCATTGGGCTTACTTGATCTAAATTGGATGGCTAGATGGGGAGGGAAGTATATAGAAGTATTAAACTGCCTATATTCATTGGGTTAAAAGAAGGTCTTTTAATGAGTTTGTTTGGATTTTTTTTTCTTTTTTATATTGTTTATGAAAATAAAAGAGTGTGGGTTTAAATATTGAGATTAAACAAAGGAAAAAGTTTATATAAGGCCTCTAATTGATCATCTCAGCATCAAGATGTATGAATATGATAAAATAAGATTTCGAGTCTGAGAAATAATATATCGTACGTCACATTATCTTGACCATCCATTTTCAAAAATTTCATGAGTTTATTGATCTACTTGATTTGAACTATTTTTAGAGTTTACAATTTTAGGATTAAAAATAAAAATAGATTTTGAAGCCATCCTAAGAATTATTTATATCAAAATCAGATATTACTTGGATTGTTTAAGGTTGCAATCTTATCCAAACCACACCCTGAAACAAATGTGCCTAATTGTTTTAACCGTAAATTTGATTATATTTCTGTAAAATCATTGCATAAAATCACTGTCGTGTTTAACGGTACCAAAAAAGACAACGGGTCAAACAATATCCGTATCTATCTAATCAAATAGAATATCGGTGTCACCGATATCCATCATTATCCATTCTACCGTAATCCATGCAAACTCTTAAATCATATAATATAATTCATAGACAATGTTAAATCATATAATGTAATAAAATTATAAAATTGGGATTAGCCTTGATTATGCGATTTAATAAAGAGCAATGAAGGGGGTACAAGGCAAAGAAAGTCCACTTAAATTAAATAAGAGGTGCTTAACCACCACCAACAGAATGGCATGTCTTGATTCTCGCATTTAATATTAATCAAATATTAAAATGGTAAGTTAAACGTTTAATTGTTTTAAATGTCATAAAAACTGAAACCAATGACGTCTTGACATTGATTGGTCCATCATATTTTAACATGCCATAGGAGAACGGTGAACTTGCTGGGCTCTGGGTGTTTAGATAAACGTCTTCGAACTTCAAACAACACACATTCCTGATCGAAGTTCTAAAACCTGGCTCGAGCCTCGAGCTCCGCCCCTGCTTGGATCGAGTTACTCTGGGTCAGTTCAATTCGACATGGCTATATCGTGTACAACCTCAAGTTAGATTAGAAATCTATAAGATTTATAAAAAAATTATTAAGGTCAGGTCTTTATAGAAAAAAAATAAATAAATATATAAAGCCCTACCTCGAAACTCGCCTAAAATTATACTAACGGATTTAAAGAACCTTCAATTTCGATCAACTTGACCTTGATCTTTATGATTGTTAAAAAAAATATTGGACTTTATGACCTAAAAATAATGTATATTGTAACACATTATCTAAACAATCAATTTTAAAGTGATCAATCATAACTAGTGGTGGAAATAGATTTTGGAACGATCATTACAAATTTTCCATGGCTGAATTGTTTTTTGGACAATATCCTGAGGTGAACCTCTATTTATTTTATTTTGGGCAATATTTCTATGCTTTCCTTACAACATATATCTTTTATGCTTCCCCCTATCCAACCGTCCATTTTGAATGGAGGGCTACGGTTGCCCCAATCACAATGTCACGTCTCTACACTTTTGTTATTTTTAATTTCTTATGTAAAATATTATTTTTAATTTCTTATGTAAAATATTATGACATCAAATTTTGGGTGTCCAATCCTCTATTAAACTCACATTTGTAAAAAATATAAAAAATATTCCCAATAAAATAAAAGACCAAAATACCCCTAAAAGTTTCAAGGTGTATTTTAGTTATTATATTCTATCGAAAAATTAATTTTAATATTTTTTATAGGTCCGCCCCAATGAGAAGACGACACTTACCAAATTTTATAATCATAAAATTTGTATTAAAAAAAAAAATTTAAAATAAAATACTCTGAGGCGTCGGATCTAGGATCAAATGGTGAGCGGCTCACTTAATCAAAATTGGAGGACTAGATAGTAGGGGAAGCGTAGATCTTCTATGTTTTAGGGAAAGTATAGAAACCTTTCCTTTTTATTGTTATAAGGGCCAGTCTTATAGAAATTACATCCTAGCAAAAATTTGTGAGGCTTTTTTAATGGGTGTGGTTTCTATAAGGTTGCAACCTTAAACAATTCAATTAAAGCTACCTCCAAATTTTATCATAACATGTAATTTTGGTGTAAAAAATTCTTAAGGTTATCTTAAAATTGATTTTCATCTCTAATTATAAACTTTTAAACTCCAAAAATGACTAAAATCAAGTAGATACATAAACATATCAAAATCTTGAAAATGGACGGTCTAGATAATGGGTTGTAAGATGCCCTATTTTTGGTACTCAAAATCTTTTTCTTTTTTCATATTCATACATCTCGATGTCGAGATGATCAATTAGAGGGTTTTTCAACATTAAAACAACCTTGTTCGATGGATTTTTGAGGTACATTTTTAATTCTACATTTTAAGGTTTCAACCTAATATAAACTTTTTCCTTTTTTTAATATGTATTTTCATTTATCATTTAGATTTTCCTTGTTAAATTTTAAGTTTTCAACGATATTCTATAACATTGCTTCCCGTTTTTCAATTAGACGAAGCGATATGGCGTCCCTAGAAACGTGCCAGATGCTCATTTGTCAGCATTTGGAAGGTGTTAGGTTGTTTTTCTTTCTTCCTTATTTTAAGAGTTGTATAGTCCCGCGGGTGCATGCTATATGCTTTTTTCGGTCCATTGGAAAGAAATTTTTTTAGAAGAAACTTTGGGAATACACTTGAACCACTAGATTATTATTTTCAAAAGAAAAAATAATAATTTCCATTTAAAAAAAAATATTGAGTTCTCTAACAATTAACCTTT